AACCAATGAAAAAGCCATCGGACCATAACTTACACATACTAAAATATACACAATATTTTATATGTATCATGGTCACTGATTGAGATAGAAATCCAACCTTTTGACCCAAACCCAATAGCCCTTCTAGTTTTGTGAATGGTCCAAGTCTGACAATATTGATATCCGGAGCCTATAGAGGAAGGGGAATGATGTAGGAAAGCTATCCTTGCTCTGGTTCATGAACTTAGAGTGGGGTCTGTCATCAGATTGAGAGAAGATAGAAGAAGACTACGAAATGGTGGTGACTCTAGATGAAGGGACTTGGCACCTAAAAACACTTCATAAGAGAGTATGGATCTAGATRCTACCAAGACTGAATAGTTCATTTAGATGGAAGTTTTGCAAAGGTCAGCCAATACATCAGTAGGAAGTTTGGCTATTTAGTTGGAGCAAATGCTACATTCAAGGTTCAAAATTTCGATACGATACGCCCTATCATATCGTATCGTATCGTTGGGGTCCYGATACACCTATTTACAGGTGTTTCAGGAACCCCCTTCTTTTTAATAAAAAATATGGTTAAAAACAAGCCTAAAAATCAAATTTTGAAAAACAAAACTAAAAAAACACAAACGTGCGTTATTTTAAGTACCAATACGCCTCTGCCAATACCCAGGGGCGTATCAATACTTTGAACCTTGGAGAGTATATTCCAGTGCCAGTCTGTCCACATTGTTTCCATCCTCTCTTACCATTCTCTTAACTGTACTATTAGACTGTTGAAATCCTCTATGTCATTCCTCCACAGATTTGTGATATTTTATGGGAAGTGAACACCTAGAGATAACCAACACTGGACACTGGACATTGGACATTTGCCTCTAGATCAACTAAGTTCGAGCCAGGTCTCCAACACTGGACATTGACACAATGTTCATTTGTTTGAAGTCACATTACATAAAAGTCATTCAGAGGGGTCGGGAGCTCTACAATTTCCTTGCAGTTTTGATAAGGGATTAAAATGACAGTCTCTTGCCCCAAACCTCCTCCACCACATTCATGCTTGGCTTAGGTTGATTAGTACAGCAGGAGATTTGTAAGTCTTCTCCCTCCYCTGCAGCTTGTGTGTATCAGCTTTAGGCACCGCCACTACCTCTTCCTTTGTCCCTTTGTATCCCAATGGCTACAGCATCAATAGGATCCACCCCTTTTCAAGAACATGTTCCATTAATATGTTTCTTTGCCGATATCCCTGTATGACTTCCAAGATCATGTTCCACCCCAACCTCTGTTTTCCCATCGGAAAGCAAACCATTTGTCTCCTGTCATTCCCAAACCACTCAGCCAGGGCAATAAACCACCCTTTCTTGTTGTTTCTTGTTTCCACTTCAAAGAATTTCTGATAACTCTTTAGATTCTTCCTCCACTCTTGTACTTTAAGCAACTTGCATGCCCCTACCAGGAAACATTTGAACCAAAGTAAATCACCTTTCATCAAGAAAACTGTAGCCTTCTTCCCTTCTTGCAAATTCAACATCTCCAACCCTCTTGATCTTATTTATTCTTCAACAATGAAAACATTTGCCCTTATCTTCACTTGCTTTCTCCATCTTCTCGCCGGCTCAAAATCTCTCCATGCAAACTGACAATCAAAGCTGTCAAGCAGCCTAGCAAGACTGTCCCCCTTGGATGGCACATTGCTAAATCTTAAAAATATGCATAATAATGTGAGATAGAATCAAGTGAAGGAAAAGTGAAATGGCAATCAACAGCATCAGATGGCCATAGAAGTGGAATCGAAGCAAAAGATGCTACTACTTYGAAAGCAGTCAATGGAAGCCTTCCTTCCACCCCACCCCCAGGCTCCAATCTGGCAATTCTTCTTCTACCAAAGAAACCCACGCACCCAAGCAAAGAACATAGTTGACCCTTAAAAAAACACAATTAAACTTATCTCCAAAAATTTATGCCTCCACCCACCATATCCTCCAAGAAATAGCCAGATCCCACTAACACAAAGAGTCACCCTGAAAGTACACAAGATTCCCACTTCTCTCCGAAAACTTAGCAATTTTTATTCTCTCATTTTCTTCAAATTCCAAAAACATTTTTCTAGCATGTTCTTCAATTTCTTACCCGCCACCACTTCTTAATATCTATTCTCTTGTCTGTCTTAAGTACTTGATCAAATATTACTGAATCAATTCCAGACTCCCTTACCATGTTATCCACATCCTCTAAACTCTCTAATCAAGGTGTCATCAAAGTCAGCCACAGGCCAAGTTCTATATTTTAAGTTCTGAGATCTGCTTTCTTCTGATGACTCCTAACCCAAGATACCACATTTGACACTTGAGAATGAGAAGGAATAGAAAGAGAGCTCAGCCGTACTTTTTCCAACACCACTGTCAACTTTAGCCTGAAGCATACTTCCCAGAATTTTACCATTCCACATTGTGCTGCCAAACAAAAGGGTATTAATCTGATTGTTGGTCCTCTGCTGAGGTCCTTAAATGTTCAAACAGTATCCTCAACCGTCCTCTTATTGACCTTCAAAACCTTAAAAACAGAACTTAGCATGGCTATCCTAGCACAGTAGCATTACTACTATTAATCTTATTAGATCTTYAAGGCAGAAACTTAGAAAKTCCTGTCCTTGATTAAAAAAATCTCTTAATGTAGATTAAGTAAAAACCCTTGGAAGATGTTGCTGATTTGTAAAGCCACTAGATCTCAATAACTCTAGTTGATAATGACTCTAAGATTCTTGACGAAACAACTTAATAGTGGTTTCAAGAACCAGTGAAAAATTTGTTATCTTTTGAATAATTATTTTTTCCTTTTGATAAATTTTACCTTTACATCAAAAAGTAYCATTAAGAAGCTGTTTACCAATATGCATTATATTGTTTTTTTTTAAACAAAACCCACTGCCACATCAGCAGAATGTTCATCCAACAGTATAAAAATGTATAGATTTAATAGCTGAAATCAAGAACAATATAAGCTAAWATCTTTCTTAATAACACTAAAAGTAATGTCTTAGTTTCATGACTAAGAAGTCAATAAAAGATAAACCCAAAAGAAAAATTATTCAGTCCATTTTATCGAAGATATCTTAAACCAACACATGATAAGATAAGGATAATTAACCATGCTTACCAGTCCAAACCCTCAAAGAGTCCTTCACCCTTTATGGCAGAAGTTTTAAAGATAGCCCACTGACGGCTTTTTATTTTGTGCAGCTCTAAGGCCTCAGTCACTGCAGCATCATCAAGTGCACCAGGGAGATCCTGCATTGAAATACATGACAATGAATGCAGCACAGAGAAATCAAACCTAAGATCAGAATTTCATGTAAACAAAAAGAGCATTACCACAATTCTATTTATATATTTATTTAYGATATCATTATTCTTTTTTATATATTTTTTATTTTGTTAATTGACCCATGTTGTTGAATCATTGATCCACAACAATTTGCTTCTTGAAGAAAATAATTGTTATGTATTTTATCTATTTTTGTAATCATATATATATATATTATCTAACTGTTTTGTTTATGTTAATATTTTCAACAAAGAAAATAACATAAAATCAACCATTGTTACATAGACCCAAAAACAAGGAGAAAGTAATGTTAAAGTAGGGCATGACACACGTAGATCTATCTCATCAGAATTCAGCCTGATGTGGGTCCCATATATATGAATTGTGGTTCAAAATTGGCCCAAAACTAAATATTACTATTTTTTCAATGATAAAATTGAGATATTTTTTTTACAAAAGGATAAAGTAACTTATATTTTATATCAAGATTGAGCATTGGGTACATCCATCTTAACAATACCACCATTGCAAATGACAACCAAAAAGATACACTATTGATAAACCCATGCCAATGTCCATCACTCCAAAATMTTCTTGACATAGGTGCAACCATCAAGCCATAGCATGTAAACCTCAGGTTGGGTGAGCATTCACGCGTAGTTCTCCCRCGTGTAGATTATGTTTTCCCTCCAATGAAGTGCCCACGTCATGTAAGGAAAGTATACATTTCCTTTCAGTATTTCAGTATAATACATATGATTTTCTAATGAAAAAACTTAAATCAATCAATATTTCTTGCAAGAGATTCAATGAATAAGTGTTCCTTGATGTGAAATTCATTCTTTAGTGGAAACAATTGACTTTTAATCTTGATCTTGCTGGGTACTATTTAAACCAAGGAAACAGCAACAAAAAAGAATTGAGGTTTTTTGTCAAAATCAATTGGAAACACCTAGGAGGGAATCTATATGCAAGGTGCTCCGTTGTTGCACAGCCTCACCTATACACCTTGAAGAATTACATGAYCAAGTGGCTGAGTGACTGCCAGTTCTGACTCCATATTTTCCAGTTTTCACCAAATGTTGCTTTTCATTTTTCCATGCCTCAAATTCCATGAAAGCAGAAAAGCTATGGAAAACCCTCCCAAACAAGTACTTGAAAAAAATGTATAAATTATTAACAGAGTTATACCCCCGCCCCCAGGTGTAGTTATCTATATCTTCTGAATTTATTCCCAGGAATGTGTCAGGAGATTTACCTAACCCTGAATTTAAGAATGCTATGAAAGAAAAAATGGAAGCCTTGATTTTTTTTTTATCAGAAAAGAAAAATTAATTTTATTAAYGAGTGAGAAACAAGTGCTGAATTAGAATGCAGCCAGTCAACAAAGCCATAAAATTACAGTTATGCCCAAAACAGCTGCTGCCTATGGACCCCCTGCTTAGCTAATGAACCAGCCATTCTATTTGCAGTCCTTCTGATCCAGGTGAATGAAGCATTGAGTTCCCTTGCCAGACTTTCTATCTCTCTCAGGGTGTGTCTATACATCCAGGGACCATTACACCTTGTGGTAGTCCAAGAGGTAATCAGTTTTGAATCCCCTTCAACCTCCAAATTTTGAAAGTTTGCTTGCTTAGCGAGTTTTAGACCTTGTAACAGCACTAGCAGCTCAGCCTTAATTGAGTCTCCTACCCCTAGAGGACCTGAGTACATTGCCAATACTTTCCGTAAAGAATCTCTAAATACACCACCTACATGAATAGGTATAGACATGGGAGGTTGTAGACATACATGAAGGAAAGGTGCCAGTTGTTTGTTGGTGGGTTATAAGACCAAGTGTGCATCAAGAGGTATAAGGAGATGCTGATGGCTAAGGGATAGACACAAACTTATGGCAWTGACTAGTTGAAAACTTTTTCTCCTATGGCCAAGATGAACTCAATAAGAGTTCTTTTACCTCTTGCAAGAAGCCATTGTATRGACTTAAGCAATCTCCTAGAGCCTGATTTGATAAATTCCACAATGCATTGATCAGGAATGGATTTCTTATAGGCCCAGCCAGATCATACTCTCTTTACTA